ATAAAAAAATGTTATGTAATCTTGCATTACTCAGAATCCCGGATCGTCAAGGACTTCAATGTTCGATGTTCCCATCAGTTATATAAAAGAATCTAACTGCATATTATCACGTAGGATTTTTATATAATGGTTTTTTACATATTTAATTATGTAACATTTTCATATACTTATTTTTTTCTTATAAAAAAATATCATGCAATCATCGAACATTCAAAATTATTATCCTGGAAGTACTCCGATGTTCAATATTCCAATATCTTATATGCAAGAATCTTGCCCTAAATCATAGGTATGTTATTTATATTTGTACTTAAATTTTTTTTTTTTGTTGCTATATTCCATTCTATCTAATTTTTACTAATGTGTTTTCTGTTGGTTTCTTTTTACTTTGAATAAAAAATTTCATAGAATATTGTAACACTGAAATTCCGAAAACTCTAAATACTTCAATGTTCAACATTCCGATTTCTTATATTCAAGAATTGGACCGCAAATCATCAAGTAGGTTATTTTGAAACTTATATTTACAATTTTTTTAAAATCGTATAATTAAATCGTGAATGTTAAATTTTCTTTACTTTATATGCTATACAGTTTTGAAATCAAACGAGTTTATTAGTCAAACATCTACAAATGGTTTTGTAAAAGGTTGCAAGACCAATCGATTTATTAAAGAAAACAATATACATAATCCTTTTAGAATCGATCAAACTTCTGTTTCTGGTAAATTTCTTTACAATTCAAAGATTATAATATATACGTTGATAATTTTTTTTACAATAATTGTTATTTGATTTTGGAAACAGGTTTTAACCAAAGTCATATTCCGGAGATGACAGCTACTAAAGATTATGATGCAAATGCATTCCAACAATTGTTAGAAGATTCAGTAAAATTAATCTTACATATGTATGTCCATAAGTAATAAAGATCTTAAATATGAATCATTGCAGCTTAAAACAGTAAATTTTGTTTCTTACAATATAGTTTTCACTCTTTTAAGTATTTTCTTCAAAATTAATACCAATTACAGTTCTTAAGAAACAAAAATGTATATAAAACATGTTGATTAGTTAAGGGTCATTTGCAATAATAACCAAAAAAAACTATAATTAGGAATCTAGAAAAACTTTAGAGAGAGATAGGAAGAGATAATGAGAAAAAATGAATTTTGGTTAGTTTGTATATTATAGTTTTTTTGTTGTATTTTTAGGAAATAATCCCTAGTTAATATCTTCTTCTATTTACATGTTTATTATTCTCAGTCGAGCCAAAAAAATTGATGAGTGAATTTGCAGAATGACAAGATTCAATGACTTAATTAAAAAAATAGCAAAGAGAAAATTCGACTTAAGAAAATAACAAAAGGCTACCGAAAAAATCAAGTGGCAAATAAAAAAAGAATGTGCTGCGCGTGGTGAACAACATGGTAACGAAATTGATTGCATTCTTTTTAAACTTTTGGTCTTCTTTTTTCTCTCTCGTCTTCTCCTTTCTCTCTTGTCTTTTTCTGGGCTCTGAATCTCTTTCTGTTCTTAATCATCTCATCTCTTTCTTCTTCATTTCTTTCTGATAATCAACACAAATTGGAAATTCAAATTAATCTATGTGGTCTAATAACACAAAACCACAAGAGATAAAAAAACAATATGATATATCTTGTGATTTGTAACATGTAAATATAACACCCTATATTTAACATTATCTTGTTATCCAGTAATTATTAGTCGCTATATATGAAATTGACTTGTTACAAATAAATATAACATGCTATATATACTGATACATGAAAATATAACGAGCTATATATTATATTGTCTTGTTACAAATATATATAACACGCTATATATAACATTGTCGTGATACATGTAAATATAACTAGTTATATTTACTTGTAACGCACTAAATAAATAAAAAACTGACATAAGAGCAGGTTATATAATTTAGTTATCTCGGTAAATAAAAAATAAGAGATATATTATCATGTTTATATGCTACTATTAATATTGTAGCATGCTATGCAAACACATAACTTGTTATTTTAACTATATAACTATATACATGTATTTACGTATAACAAGTTACTACAATATATATATTGGTTTATCTTGTTAAGTCGAAAGTTAGTGGTTTAATTTTAAGTCGAAACCCAATCTCGACCACATAAATTCTCAATGAAAATCACCTTATCACCAAATTCAAAAACCCAAAAGAAAAAGTAATTTAAAACAAAAACTCGATACAAGAAAGAAAAATAATCAAAACACAACATAGACATAGTTTAAAGCAGAGAGAAATTTGGTCAATGAAAAAAGAAAAAAAAAACTGACCTGGAAAGCAATTTCATGGTCGATTAGATTAGATTAGGTGATTGGTTCATGTCATTAAC